TCCTCCTCCTCCTCCTTCTCCCCCTCCTCCCTGGTCCTCATCATGGCGACGATGATCATGGCTTTCGTCGCTGTCACACATTGTCGCCGTCACCACCTAATCTTCTTACTTTCATTTTGCAAGCTCGCGTTATCGCTGTCGCTGTCGCTATCTTTGCTCTTGCACAGTACGCTGGGCCATCCTCGTTGGTCCCCGAGCAGAGCTGGTTTGCGCTTCTCCTACAACTTCCGCCCCCGAGGCCTTGCCCTCTCCACGGCCATCGCATGACGAATGTCATCTTGATGGGTGCCTTGAAACCAGATTCAAGATCGCTACGTCTGGCTCAAAGGCCCTGACGACATGGAGTGGCTATCTGGCTGTGATTTGCTGATTTCTGTGGGCTGTCCGTTGGTATCGAAACCGGAACTCCGGACTGTGACATGCTGTGCGGCGGAGCGGCCTTTGGGCCTTATCAGCGAGGGGACCTTCAGCGCGAAGGATAAATCCTGCACACAGACGGACACTGCACGTCTAGCAACAGTTCAAGTTGTTGTGAGCTGCCAGAGCTGGCTTTGCCGGTCTCTGTCAAAAGAAGCTGGGTGATGGGAAGTTTCAAGTGCCGATGTGGCGAGCTTGAACCTATTACACCACCTCTGGCACCGCGGTTTGCAAACAAGCCACATAGGAAATGGGAGGAAACATCGTGAAGTGGTTGAAGTTCACGGCGACCACCTTCTCTCCACACACCATCCCTTTTTCAACAGTCGCCGTAGCCTCAAAACGCCACGAACATTGCCTCGTGAGTGTAGACGTCCGAAGTAGCTGAGATGTGCTCGTTGCTGCCCAGTAGCAGCTCCTGCCTCAGGCACCACAGGAAGACAGCGGGAAGAGCGAGAAAAGCGACTCGAGCGAGAGTCTGCCACGCGATTCGGAACCAAAGGGACGTGACGCTCTTCGAATCCGATTCAGCACTTCGAAACTATCTGCTGCAGGAGTAACGCCATGGCCCTGTTGAGCAAGGAGCAGTGGTTCGACCTGGGTGTGCCCGACATTGTGGAACTACACACAACTCTGCCTGGGTCAGGGCATGTGGGGAACACGAAGTCAGCTTCTACTGACGACGAGAGAGCAGTCCATCCGGGTTGGGGGAAAGCATTGAGGCACACAGGGCCCCCAGACAGACCAACGGCGGCAACACCAAGAATCGCAACCCCTCGCAAAAGACAAAAGGAACAGTCAGCACAGCGGCATCCGGACGGCGTCATCCAGGAGTTCTGGTGGATCCTCAGGGCCACATGTCTGTGGTGTTTGCCAGGATCTTTGGAAGAGCTAAGCCGCTAAGCTGCACTGAGCTTATACCGTTATCGCCGTTAGTTTTTCGGGAATCGTAGGTATACCGCAAGAAACTGCAAAAGACAAGCAGGTGCAGTGCCACCGACAGCGCCGGGATCTGAGCTTCACAAGGTCTTACCTCACCGGCTGCATTCCCTTTCTCTGCCCTGTCGGGTGCCTCGTCGACATACTCAAGTCCTCGGCTCTTTCCGAGGCAGAGGTCGGGGTCGTGCCTGCAGAAAACCGCACTTGCTCTGCCCAGCATCCCAGCTGCCATCCGCAGCGAACCAAGCAGGGCTCACCTCCGAGGCACGCGCTTACGGGACGAAGAGGGAGAGATTGGTCTTTGTGGATCCCGACCTGTCCTGGACGGGATCAAGGTGTCATTCTAACGTTGGGCTTTGTGCTGAAATGGGTCAAACTGCACCGGGGATTCCTCTTGGAAACCAAGGCTTTACCCGTCTTCGGGGCATAATCATGCCCATCAGCATTCATCTTTGTGGGCGGGGCAATACTGGGTGGTGGCGGTGCAAGATTGCACGGTCTGCTCTGCTTTCGGGACTCTAGACTTGCAACCCCTAAATTGCTCCCGTTTCTTCAGTGTCAAGCTAGTTTCACAAGTACCTCCATCGTTCCAATGCGGTACAGTACCCTTTCGGGGCACAGGATTTGTCAATGGCCCTTTGCAACGGCACAGCGGCTCGTGTGCCAAACGTAAGGGCTGCAAATCCTGGTGCTGACGCCAGATGAAGACCCTGCAGTGCCTGCGTTCTCTTGCAGCAACTCTGGCCTCAGCTTCGAGACGTAGGGTTTGAAGCCTTGACTCCGTTGGGCACTGGGACGTGCAGTTGATGGGGCAAGTCTTCCTCGTTGGAACCTCAAACCAGAATCATGCATCGGCATCAAACGTCAGAATGAGACCTCGACCAATCGACGTAGGGTGCCGTTCACTACCCTGGCCAGTGAAACCCTCCTGCTGGCACCAAGGAGCGTGACCAGTTCGTTCCAACATTCCGCCGCTTTGTGCGTGAATTTGACCTCTGCGCTCCGGGGTACGTTGTCATATGCATTCTCTCGACTAGTCTTTTGTTCTCGCTTGCCGATACAAGAGGGATCCGGTTCATCGTCCCAGACTATATAGGCCAAGCATGCCAGAGGGTGTACCTACTCGTAGGAGGCAGGGCGGATGGATGTTGACGGTAACTAGACCATCAGAGTACGTGCAAGATGCTCGGGATCTGCACTTCCTCGACACGAAACAGAACCACGAGGTGCAACCACATCCCGCAACGGAAGTTCGTACTGAAGCTGAGCGAGTCGAATGAGTAGCCAATTCTGAAGCACGAGACCTCTGTCTTTGGACCAAGCTGCAGCTTCCGAAGCTTGCATGCGCGACTCGACCCTGTTGTCTAACCTGTGAAAAAAATGAGCCATATCGTTGCCAAAGCCGTTGCAGAAAAGCCACATCATCCTCCACGAGCAAATGCCACTCCTTTGCAGAGTTGGCGATCTCTGTCCAGGCCTCCCCAGGTGCTGAAATGTTTGGACCTCCTACATGCAACGGATGGCGGCATGCAAGGACTCCCAAGCATGTTGAGATTTCTCGGACAACCTTCGCTTCCTTCGATCCCTTCGAGTGAACATGGGCTTGGTAGTTCTCACCCCGGCTCACATCAGCGCCGAGCTCGCCGGAGAAGCTTTACTGTTGTTTTGACTGATGCAAACACAACAAAGACATCCCCCAAGCAAAATCTCTCTCTTGTATGTGTCAGAACGTCAGCCCTGAAGCCTTCCGGAAGGACAGCCAGTTCGCCACCTGCTCCAGCAACCTGTGCGGACGAAGTGCTGGACATTAGGGGCAAAAGAGATAGTTGCAATGCTCCATGCTCCAGCCAGCATGCATGAGTATGTGTGAGGTTTTGAAGTTGAGATCGAAACTACAGCGGCCAAATCAGCGACATATTCAAGACTCCCCCGTGGTCTCTATCATGTTCCTGTTCAACTGAGCCTTTTCCACCTGCTCAAGCCTTGTCCCATACCTCAAGGGCCGTACAACTCGCCCCTGCAACCACCTCTGCACTGGACACCAGACACTGTAAGAGACAGAAGAGCCAACAACCTGAGCCACAACAAACAAACCTAGGTGTCAAAGCCAGGGACCAGAGATGTAGGGCTGCAAACAGTGGCGGGTGGAGACATTGGGGAGTTCAGTCTGAGATGCGGGTGGCGGAGAAAGGCAACACTACAGTTCGTCAAGTGCAAACATGCCGTGCCTACGGTATGCGGTATGTAGCCATGCTCGGCCAGCTGTGAAATGTGGAGTTGCTCCTCGTGTCCTGTTAATACAGCATCTAAATGAATCTGAATATTATATAGAATTACATGGAACATCGTTGCTGGATGGGTTGCTGCTCGTGTTGGGCTTCAGTGCCGACAAGGACCAGCTCACGGTGCTCTTGCCAAGGGGCATATCATTGTTCGCGCAGCAGCAGTCAGTGACCAAGCCACAACGGAAGCACGGTGGAAACTTTGCAACTCTCCTCGAATTTGGGCAAATGTGAGCTATGTTCTGAGGACACTGCACGCAACTCGCTGCTTCAGTCATACACGGTTTCACTGCAAATACAACCGGCCTTAAATATCGGCGAAGCCCAATGAAAGCCCACTCAAGAACTTCCAGCGTAACCTTGCGGGTACAGGAGAGAATGAAAGCAGCTGCCGTTCTCCGACGAAGCTCGGCGAGTTGAACCACCGCAGCACTTCCTCGCACCCAAAAGACAATGCCAGCGTCTTGTTTCATTCACCGCCACCTCATGCTTATAACCGTCTCTGCAGAAGCTACGCTCAAAAAACCGTCGGGCTTGGACGATGATATGTATAGCTTGCAGCGCAACCGATGGCTTGTGTGCGAGACCGCTGCGTGATGAACTGATGGCAAATTCATTCTACCTGGCAAAGCTCCCTTTCTGTAGGCAACCTGGCCTCATCATTCGGGCCGAGAGCTTCCACAAAGCGAGGCACAGGGAAACCCCAACCTGAAGGCCACCCTCTTTTCCGCGAGTGCGGACACGACCGGTTCAGTAAAAGATGCTTACGCATCGTGGGTCGGAGCAAGCCGTTGGTACGCGCCCGCTTAGCTGATGGGATCATCAATCCATACTCGTAACATCCCAAGACGCGCACATCGGACAAGCGGAATCTTCACCGACTTGATGGCTTGGGTCGGCTCGGCTCCGTGATTCAGTCCACTGACTTGTGTCAAGACCCGACAAACTAGATATTCGATGCCACGCAGCATGTCAGCTCCTTCTCTGTGTGTCGCCGCCGCGATCTGCAGGAAGGAAGGCTGATGCACAGCACCTGTGCCGCCGTTCTGTGGTTCTGCAAGCGCTCTGATTCAAAGAGTCCTTTGAGAAGCGGAGAATCCGTGCCTTGACTAGCACTATACTTGTCATCACAAGGCTACTAAGGAATCTTTTATGACTGCCGCCCACATCCTAACCGACCCACTTGGCACAATGTGTCCCAGGTCTCGAATCATTCTCGCAAGCCAGCTCTGCAAGAATCACTTGTGCGCAATCAGCCAAACTAAAACCACGGATCTCAACCGCGAAGATGTCACAGAATTAACCATGGAAGGCGTATTCTCCAACTATGTCACGAACAGAATCCATCACTGCAGGAAACTGCAGGTATGTCAGACCCACGGCCGGGCTTGATTTCAGTCCCAAGTGCAACCCTCTTCGTTGGCATCCGTCATTGCACTGAGAGGATGCCTCCCTGCTGTTTTGAGTTCTCTTCGAAACAGGGTTTGAGACAGACACACACACACACTTGTGGGATTTCGGCAAAGAGCAAGAGGCAAGCAGAGAAAAAAGGTGAGGCGGGGTGTGGTTTGCTGCGATCACATGACAACAACAGCGACGATAATCAATGCACAGCGAGTGTTGTAGTTGCATTTACGTTCTTCATCACGGTGCAGACCTCATATCCTGGCATCTTGACTGGAGCTTCGTTGCACCAGGCCAGTCAAGTGCCCCTGGTGCCCGGCAGTGCGAAAAAACAAACCGATGTAGGAGTGACCCTCTGTTCCCATGTGCTGAGGAAGTTCACCGCGCATGCAATTGCCCTGTGGCAGGGTTGCGCCGTCCAGTCGAACTTTTCCAATACTACCAGCCAGCAAAAAAAGTGAAAGGCTTCTGAGAAGGCTTCGACTACTCAATGCAGGCTGCTGAGTGCTCTCGGCAACAGCACGAATTAAGCCCAATTCTCCTTACATGGAATGACTGCGTCTGTGCTTCAGATGTCGAATCGGATCGGCTTCAATTTCGGCGGGAGGTTGCCGATCCTGTTGTGCTTTGGATCGAATCCACTGACGCGTCACTTCAAACAATTGCCACGACCACACAACACTGCCTCCACTTTCGGTGGTTGGGCGCCATGTCCAGCGTGAAAAAGCTGGCTGGGGTGGTAGTCATGATCCAACCTCAACGTCTGTCGGTTATGCCGGATGATCTGTCGGAATGTGCTGACGCTGAACTGGTTGTCGTACCTCCTGACACTGGTCCCTGCTATGTAATTGGAGACCGTTTCCAAGCTCCAAAGAGTGCTCTGTGTGAGCAGTGGAAGCCATAGTTGCACGTCAACCTGGTGCAGCTGCACATGTGGCTGCGCTGCTGTGCCTAGCTGCAGAGAGCGTTGATAAAATGGCTGCGGTACACAGGTGAGTCTGCTGTGTGCAAACGGAGAGCTAATGAACTTGCGTTTTCCTCTGAGCAACGGTGTCTGCTGTCTTATTGATAGTCAACCGCGTTTCCACGCAGTATCACTGCAATCATGTCCATTTGCTGCTGCTGCAATCCGTGTTGGGTCTTCATCAGGTTCTCAGCTTGTTGTTGTCTGGTCGAAATGGGCTCCAGTTGATGCCGGAGACGTCCCAATTCTTGTAATAGGAGTCCTGCGTCTCATTGAGATTCCCGCTGTTCTGGATGTGATGGCTTTGGGCTGATGGTATTCGGAACTCTGTCCGGGGTACACGATCGTCTTGGTGAGGGTGTTCTCTCCTGCGCTACCCGTAGGAGCTGCTGTCGAAGTGGCGGTGGGTAACATGGCTCCACCGGCGCATTGTTGCTTGGCTGCTTGCGCTTTCTGGAGCACGATGCAGAGTTTGGGATGCCTGGCTTCCGTTGTGATCGTCGTACATGACTGACACTGGTTGCTGCTTGATAAAATGCCTGCGTTCTGGAATAATTTGTTTGCTGACCTCACGCTTGGCTGTCAACATAAGCTGGTCAATGCATCACTTATTTCCTGGCTTGGATCGTGATAGTTGTGGTGGAGAGACATGACTGCAGGGTATCAAAGATCGATGGCGATTATGACAGTAGCACATTAAGATACTTATGAAGTGGGAGTTAGGTCATGCCACCAATCCAATACCGGCGATGGAGAAACGCCCTGCGTGGCATCACCACTTATCTGACGGCTTTGGGGCCGTAATGAGGGCTTCTTGCTATGTGTCTCTGTAATCAATCTTGTAATGTCGAAACCGGGGTCTGGTCACTCCGAGTACTAACACGCCCTGTTGTCCTTGGCTGCGCCGTGCGGAATTGTCCGCCACGACGTGCCATGTTTGCTCGTTGAGCGTGTTCTGGATGCTGGTGGGTCGGACCAGGTCTTGAGGTAAAATGCCGGATGTTGATTGCATGTCTGTGCCATGGCAGCACACGTAGTTGTAAGTGGGTCCAGGAGGCGCTGTGGCCGAATATCCAAAAGGAAGGAGTTCTTCGCCCTTCCACGGCACGTACAAGATTGATGTCCATAACGGTAGCGCTGAGATGCGCTGAGCTCCTGGCATGCGTCTCGCGTTCCTGATATGGCATGCGCTAAACCAAATATGTCATTGATGTTGAGGCTTGATGCATCCGCGATCTCGGCGAGTGCGTGTGCCAACTCGTTAGATTCGACAGGATCGACTGCATGTGGTGTGACCCTGTCTTGTGATCTGATCTCCACGTAGGGTGTGATAATGTTCTGAGGCGGTCGTCGGCCGTTCCGTATGTCGTTGGATCGCGATGCTTGTGGGTGTTGCTGTTGATCTGTGTTCGTTGGGGCTTTCTCCCATTGTGGAATGTGGTGGGGGCGGTGGTAAATTGCCCCGTTGCTGTGTGGTGGTATATGATTGAGTTTGAAGTTGCTGGGGGTCGTGATTTTGTTGTCGGGTAGATGACGTGCCATGTGCTCAGGCTGTCCGAGGAATGGATCTGCTGGTACTTTTGAATTTGCTGACTGGTGTGTTGTGGGATTGTTGATTGCACTGCTGTCGTCCGTGCTTTCTCTTGGCACTGCGGCTCATGTGGCATCTGTGACGCATTCTGCTATGCGTGCTAATGTATCGTTGGCCGCTGCGGCTTCTCGACACTGTGCGTGGATGCTGCTGTGATGTTGTGCTTGTCGGCTTCACATGTTGGAATGGTGGGGCTGATTGTGCTCCGTAGATGAAGTAGGTGTTGGTCCTTGTTGTATGCTTGTGGTTTGGGTCGTGGTTGTTGCTGGTGTGATATGGGATGTCTTGCGGCTTGCTGTTGTAGGTGGCTGCTCTATGGAGCCTTTATGCGGGAGGTACATGTGGTAGAAGCTGTAGTTGCGATGGGGGGCGGCCCGGTTTGCGCAGTGAGTTGTGTGTCTTGAGTTGACTGGGCTTGTTGCATCAGCCAAATCACATCCGCGAGGGTGACGGGTTGTAGCATCAACTCTGGCTGCCGATGTGGTGGTGTTCAATAGTTGTAGTTGTGGAGGTATGTGACGAAACTGTGCGAGACCATGGTGTTGATGTGGTAGCTGTATGGCAAGGTTGGTATTTTGTTGTTGTTCTTGTGGTTGCCGAATGTCTGCGGGTTGTGGCCTGGCATGTGACGGTGGTTCTTGAAGAGGCCTGTCCTTTGATTGTCAAAGTCAACGTACCACCATCTGACAAATCCGAAGACTCTGGGAGTTGATTGTCAAATGTAGACATGACGAAATCGCCGAAATCAAAGCAAATGTGGACGTTGGCAACCGGCATGACCGGGAACTCTATGTGTGTTGTTCGGCTGGTAATTCTGACAAAGGGCCGGTCGTGATGCACGTGGCGCTGTCAAGCATACCCAACAAAAATTCAGTTCACATTCTGGTGTCAGACCAGACTACTTGCCAGACCCTCAGCACAGAGAAGGCCAACGCAATCCCAGTTGTGCCCCTACCAGCAGTCACCCAAGCTTCTCTGATATGTTTTTTTGAGGTGTATCAGAATGTCATTAATCATACCCAAAACGAAGTATACTCACATCCGAAGTTTACCCGAAGCCATACTGCCACACGTCGTTTAAGTATGGTTCTCAAAGCTGATCCGTTCCTGCTGACAGTGTTTTTCTTAGGTATGCTTATCTCCCTAGACATCAGCCTACAGCACCGACCCCACTTCCTCCTCAAGCAGTTTTGCCACCGTTGCCACCAAGTTTTGCAAGTAATCAGGATTACAGCAGCTTGGGCCATCCATAAGTGCTACTATAGCACCCCCTTTAGATCTTTTGCTCCGGTGGTCGGAATGGAGAAGTCTCTAAGTACTTACGATGGAGTTGGTTACGACAGACGTATGTTTTTTAGCAAACGTCATTTGTCTGGACATCCACCACCAGTTGGGAAGGATGACGCTATTGCTTTTGAAATGGAAGAATCTCAGAAGATAGAGGTGCCGGCACCAATTGGAACTTTCCAGTTGGCTTTGCTGGATCCTTTTAGTGGAGAACTAATAAGTTCATGGGCTTGAGTCCTTCCGCGAGTTCTGCTGCTACGCAAATTGAAAATGGAGTCTCCACAGTCAAGGAAGCGCAAGCTTGGCGTACTCCATAAACTGAAGTTGGACAGCTAACTAGATTGTTGCTGAACGTCCGCATCAAGTTCAGCTGCATGTCTTCAGAGAAGGTTTGTGTCACCATCAGTGACAACACGTTCTGCAGTGCCATAATCAAAGCGTTCACGGTGCATTTTTCGCAGCATGCGGGATTGACTTTTGAGCTGAAGATTTCCGAGCTGAAAATGGTACTTGCTTTCTTTTTCTTTTGCCGGTTCATCATATTAGTACTTGACTACAAACTATGGAACCTGAAGAAGCTTTTTGAACTTTTTGCACGATGACAATCTCTGTAGTTGCAATACTCCAACTAAGTTGTTTTAGATTGGGTCCCAAGGCTCATTATGTATATATTCATATATATATATATATACACATACATATATATATATATATATATGTATGTGTATATCTATATATATATATATGCGGGTGAAACTCTTTGCAGATACAGAGTTATGCGTCCATAGCTCCTTCCACCCATTCCGCTAGCTTCGTTGGCTGGCATCACGGAATAGGCTGCCAGCTTTCATGAAGAATCTTTTCGTCGACTCTTTTAACGAAATCGTTAGAAAGAGGAGTTCCACACACACACACACACAGACATGTGACTTGAGAATTGTGTGTCGAAGATACCTGCATCTGCCCGGCCTCACCATCAAAGACGGATGCATCGCAGTGGTGGCCGCGTCGCAACGCCTCTTTCGGTCCTACCTGCTGTTCTGTGCATGCACGCAGCAATGGTAGTCAGATCAAGAGTTGCAAATCTCCAAACAAAAACCAACAATCCCGTCAGGCGAAGGCAACAGTGCCAATAGATCCTGTCTTTGCCGACTTCGCCATCAAACTTGTGATTTTGACACAACAACAATCCAGTGAGGGCAGAGGCTCCTGACTTCCTTCCTTCGTCGAGAAAGAGCCCAAGGTGAAGGTCACTTGTGCAAGGCCCAGGGCCCAAAATATACAGACTTGCGGAGAAGACTGCACCGTGAGATAGGCTAGTGCCATACATTGCTTTTTCCTCAGCTGGACTCTGTTGGGCTCTTCGTCACCTCGAGCAAGTCAATCATCCCGCGCTGCGATTCAGTAGCATTTACACAGGCTAGGCCCGCTAGGCTTTGACGAGATGGTGTCCAATTCGGTATGCCTCGTCAGTCAGAGCACAGTTTCCAGGTTCTGAACTGGAACAGATGCCTGCTTTCTACCATATCGTCTTTGACCCGAAACGGCCGGATACAAATTTCACCTCCATGGGTCCCTGAAACCGCAATGGTGTTGCAGTGGTTTGAGCTTCGGCAGCTGCTCCTCGTCGACCATCAATCAAGTTTGGTCATGCTTCCCCAACGGGGCTGTCGGGCTCGATTGAATTGTGGAGGAAGCTGTTCTTGTCCATGGTAGGGGATGCTCGGTTCCAAATTAACAGACCTGGACCTCTGCAGCCAATCACCACGTTTGACCGGAGCACCGGCTGGGCGTCATTTCTCAGCCTGCAGGCTTTCACATGTCAAAGTGAACACACCCAGAGGCCGAGTGGCAGAAAAGCCAACTTCCTCGCCAAGGGGCCTTATGCCTGCAGATCGGCAGTCACTGATCACGCAGGCTTCGAAAATACCCTGGCACCGCCCGGCAATGACCAAGCCCTGCCAAGCCGGACCAATCCGACAATCGAGCACGTGAGGGTTGCTCTCAGCGTCGAGGGGAGGATCAGCCAAGATGCCGATGCCGCGGCTCTCAATGTGGCAGCCTTCCCGAAGTGCTTCGCAATTCTCTGCTGATTTCTGGGGTTTGTTCTCCAAAACAAATTCTCAGCTTGCTGGCCCTGCCTTGCACCCTTGGGCGGCCCTTGCAGCGCAGGTGGACCGCAACAAAGCGGTCCTGGTTGACAATGTCCACGTCTTGAAGTACTGCATTCTCGGCCCCCACCTCGAAGATGAAGCTGCCAGACAACTGGGTCCTTCCGCAGTTGGACCCCAGAAGGGTAATGTTCCTGTTGATCACGATCGGCCGCGTGTTGCAGTACTGGCCTGGTGGCAGTTCTAAGGTGGACCCGTTCGGCAGCGAGCCGATGGCATCTTGCAGAGAAGTAACGGCCCCTCTTTGAACTGGGCGAAATCGGATTGCGCAACGAAGCCACAGATGGTTGCAAAAAGTTCTGCTGGAGCTAGAGTCCAGCAGCAGCACGAACAGAAGCAGCAAACAAGATTCGCGCCTTCGACATGCCATGTCGTTTGTTACACCAACGAGCCTACAGGTTGGGACCTTGGCTGCCGGACGGAGCTGAAAGGCCCCCGAGGCGGCAGCGAAGCACAGGGCGGAGCACAGGACGAGCAAGACAGAAACTCTCGGCAAACAGAGCGCACGCCGCGGCTTCACCTCACTTCCGTGCCTCCTCGGCTTTCTCCGAAAGCTCTGCTTGCAACGCCGGCACATCCAAGGCCGCCTCCTGAGAGGCTCGAGCTTTAGGGGGAAGTCGTGTCTCCGACACGGCACCTTCGTGAGGAGGTCGTGCACCTTGCTGCCAAACCGTGGGTACCCGTCTGGCCCCCGGATTCGCGGCCTCGACACATCTCGACACTCTTGCATGGAAGCTGCCATTGTTCAGAACCTGAAGCCATAAGCTCTCGAACGAAACCTGGCACGACGTCTTCGGCGCAACCGCCGGCGTAGAGTCGGCCAGGACCTGAACGGGCACAAGGCCGGCAGGCCCGGCTTGCGCCAAGACGCTCCTGCCTGTTCTATCTTGGAGGCTTGTATATCCCAAAAAGACATCTGAAGACTTTAAAGAGGGCACCCCTTAAAAACCCTGGGCCTGCGCTTGGAGCCGCAGTCCAGGCTGAGAGGCGCAATGAAAGCGCACACCTCAGGCAGAGCGGACTCTAGGAGTGACGATGAAGACGAAGTTCCCAGACGACTGAAGTGCTGTGCCATGATTCGAACACTTGGGATTTCAATCCATGGCTTGACAAACCTTCAACTCTGAAACAAAGAACTCCTGCGGAACCGTAGGCTGCATCGGCTGCACCAAGCTTACGGTGCAGTATCCAAACGATGTAGGATCTGACATGCTCATCTCCACTGGTTCGACATCTGAGACATTCCTTGGCTACTAGTGTTACTGCGACTTGTCGACAAGTCGGGAACTCAGGAACCTCTGCGGCAGTCACGTCAGCTCTTCGGCGCATGGCGCCGTCAAGTTTTAGAACGCCGGAGTCATAACACCGGAGTGCATGTGCTTGCAGTGAGGGTGGTTGACGGGCCCTTGCCGGCAACGGTGGTTCTCTATGGCACGAGCCTGAATTGGTAATCTCTTCTCGCCACGTTTGTTATTTTTGAGCATGAGGCGCGCAATGGAGAAGACCGACATGTGCGCTTTGGTATCTGCTGAGACTTGAGCAGCTCTCGAGCAGCGATTTGATCTTGTCACGAAGCCGACCACAGGACCTAAACGCCTCTTTTGACCGCTTAAGACCTCGGACTCGGATGATAGCTCACATCCCCGGACCACGAAGGCGAAAGCAGTCGGCTACATCAGCTAGCCCGGTTGCACGTTAGCCGTTAGCCATATTATCCTGGTTGACTCTAAACACGAAGCCAACGCCTCCTCAATTCTCTGTATCCGTGCCTTGCATAGAGGCCGGCAGCCCCGCCAACATAAGCCTGATCGTTGAATTAGGACATGGTTCGCATGCTTCGCCCTTGACAGTTTCAAGTTGAAACGTCTGAGGACCCCCACGGTGCAACGGGCCGAGGCCTGGGGTTCCGAGGGACCGGAACTTGCGTGCTTTTCACCTGGACAGGGCCCCAGATCCCACTTCTGCTTTTGAGAGTATACAACGTCATGGGGGGCCCATGTTTTCCAGGTTGTTTGCTGGATCGCATGTGGCTCTTTAGGCCTGTAGTGGATGTTTTCTCCATACTCTATAGAATTGGAAATCTTTTGTGGAAATCATGCCAGTGCACATACACGCCACCAGGGCGTGACGCTCTAATGCCCTGGTGGCGTGTATTTATCGGTTACACAGGTTCTCATACGAGCTTTTGTGTCCAGTATTGTAGACGACTGACCGAGTCCCAGAGCCCGATGTCGGTTAATCGGCTGGAATCTCAACGACCCCGAAAGCATAGTTGGCAAACTCTAAACACGAAAGTGGGTCAATGACTCACATGTACTTAACCGTCGAATGTAAGATGATGGATGGCAAACCCGGCTCACCCTACAGGCCCAAAGCATCCCAGATTTCAATAAGAGGTGATGGATGACAAATCCGAACCTTCAGCCTTAAAGAAAATGGCAAGTGACAGACCCGGCAATGCTTGAATGGGGACTGGGCCTGTGTGGCGAAAAAACTCAACCGAAAAAATATTGGGGAATGCTTTGGAATGATGATGAGTGGCGAACCCTGAAACGTAAACACAGCCCTCCCAGAAAACCCACACCCTGAAGATGATGTTGGGTCTAAACGCGCATCTCTAGAGAGTGCAAAATCCCAAACCGAGAGCAAAAAGATTATAACACCCCCGAGTCCTAGCCCTTCAGCTACATCCTGGTATCGGGTGGCAAATTTCCAGCCCCAAAATCGTCGAGCAGCTTAACGGACTCAGCGATAAGTAGGGTACTGGAGTAACATGCACTCCGCATTCGAGAAGGAGGTGGTGGCTTGACCGGTGCAAAACACCCATAGCGGATGGGTGGGGAACCAGGCTGCTGAAATGAACGAGTGCCATGGAGCACCGTGAGAGGACTGAACGATGCCCAAAACATCTCACAATATAGCACAGCATGTTAAACCTTAGCTGTAAAGTTTCAACAGGGGATGATCAGTAGCAGCAGCAAACCCCGAACCCTGGAAAGGAAGACTGGGTCCGCAAGAGCTTAAACCCGAATGCCCCAATGGCGTCGAACGTGTTTATGCGCCAACCTGATGATCTACTCTCTATATATTGGTCTGTGTACTTGCCGCAATCCATGATAATAACCAATACTAGTATGTACTTAAATAAAGATGAATACAAACGTGTGCATACAAACTGACAGGCTTGCGATTTGTGCAATTACTCATCATCGACCCGCAAAGTGCTTGTATGCAACACAGCCTAAATCCACGGGCAAATATATTGATAGGTAGACCACCAGACAGAAGTATAAGCATGCGTGCTAAGTCACTGTGACTTTGGGGCTTATAAAGTTTGGGGGATCCAGTCATTATTTGAAGGGTTTGGGGTTTGCCACCCGTAATCTCCTGTTGAAGAGGCTTAAGGTTCAATACTTATTTTGCTAGGTTCGGAGATGTTTCAGGCATCATTCAGCCCCGTCAAGGTTCCCAGTGACACTCGCTCTGGCTTCAAGGGCCAATATGTGGTGCCAGAGTCCATCGTATTTGCGGCAAGTCATCTTTGTAAACCAATTTTGTTTAGCCATGAATATCCTCTTCAGGTTTGGGTCTATGATCAGTCACAACTTCCCGATGTTGTTGTCACTTCTTCATGCTACGAATTGGTCACCCAATATGTCCTACAAATAACATACGAGATGCTGAAGACAGCACTGGCTCATACATACAAGTGCATACATATATGTATGTACAAAAGCACATAAACAAACTCACACAGCGTAGATTCATACATAAACGTAAGTACGGATACAGATGCTTGGTCATGTCTTCTGTGTCTACGCATGTAAATGTAGGTCAGGTATGCATGTTTGGAGTATCTCGCAAGCAGTATATGTAGTGACTTTCTCTGTTCTGATCTTCTGATGTTGAGCTGTTTGCTGGGTGTGCCAGTGACAGATTTGAACACGTGTGCGCATCTTCCTGCATTTTTTGTTGTCACCTCCTCTCCTTTCTGCAGAGTCTGAGGTCGGGAATGCCAGGTTGATTGAGGCTTCGGGCGAGGGACCACACAATCTGAACCCTAAACAAGGGATATCACCACACCACTTCCCCTTTTCACGTGTACCCCTCGCATCGCAGCCTGTGCACAGTCAGGTCCTACCTCACCACCAACACCACGCAGTACTCCCAAGAAACACCAGCCCTAGGGCTCTAGGGCCGCGGGGGAGCACAAGGCAACCCTTGGCGCCACGGGGTGAGGGGGAGCAGGGGGGCAACAAAAAAACAAATGCACGCATGTGTGGTTGCACTATCCCCATTTTGGTCATCCCCCCTGCCCGCCTGGAACGGCTTGGGCCTTCAGTTTGTGTGTGGAATGGTTGGGTGGTTTGGTTTAAGCCTTCTTCCAATACCATGTTGGCCCCCCCCCCCCCCAGAACTGCTGGGGTCTTGAGTTCCGTCACTCCCCGGAACCTGCATGGGGGGGATACCATTGGGGGCAGGGGGAGGACAAGGCGGGGACGGGGGGGTGGGGAGAAAGCACACCGCACAACCATATATATATATATATGTATGTATGTATGTATGTATGCATGTATGTATATATATATATATATATATATATTTGTGCTTGTTCTGTGTCTTTTTTGTTTTTGCTTCCCCCCCACCGGGGGCCCAGCGCCTTTTGCTCTGTTGTCCCGTTAGCCCTGGGGTCCAAATCCTTTACAGTACTCAGTCGTCTATTGCGTCCTTTTTTTATGCACACACGCAAGAAATTGCATGAACAAACAGCCTGTGATTGAAGCATGCTGAAAACTTGCCATCGCAAACACGTGCCAACAGGGCGTATTCTGAAACTGCTGTGATGCACTTAGATATGGTTGCTAAATCAAAAATAAAAACGCGGGCCCCCTAGACGTGCTTTCTGTAAAATAAGGCCATGTTGGCCCCCCCCCAAGAGCGTTGCGAGTCGCATGGCCTGCGCTGCAGACATCTCGGATGGCTGCGAAGGCACCTTGACGCTTTGATTGGTTTGGGGACTCAGACAGAGATGGGATTCTGGCTTCGCATTACGATTCACTGCATTTATCTGGCTCGCCACCTTGCAACATGAAGCGAGCTCCACATCCTGGGCACATCATTGCAGTGATGCCTTCAACGCCCAACTTAGCTTAGGATCTCATGTCCTGAGCCTGTTTTGCAACAGCGGCAGCCCTGTACACGATTCTATACATGTGCATCAAATTGATGGGGAGCACCTTCATACTGGTAACCCTTTCCAGACAGTGTCGCTTGGTGCTGGCTCTCAACATCTCCACGTGCTTCTTCATATCCACGGAGCCCAGCTTCAGGCCCGCCGGCATGTCATCACCCAACCTGCACTTCAGCATGGTTTCTCTGGTCCGTGCCCCTAAACGCAGCGACGAGTTGGCCCAACCATGCCCAACCCGTTGATTGCTCCGTCAGCCGCCTAATAAGCTCCGATAAGCTCCGCCTGTCGATGTGCAGACAACAGCACTGAGAACAGCGAATTAAGCAAAGCTATGCTAATCTTCTGCGCCGTCTACGGAGTCGACTCATGAAAGGCAGAAGGACTATGGACCTGCGTTCAAAGCGCCACTAGAGTCCTACAGTCACATCACATCTCATCAGCTCCGGTGCCCGCGCGAGCCAGTGCCGGGGAACCGTCGATCCGAGTCTGGAGAGAGGCAGCGCGAGAGAGAGAAAGGTCCAAAAGGAGCCCAGCAGTCTGCCTAGGTTTCATCCGAATCTCTGGCCCTCAACTTGCTGCAAAACACTCGTGGCTGACGTCAGAGCCAGACGGGAGACCCGGGGACATCTTCGCTTCACAACGACAGACAAGCCTGCATGCCTGTGAATACCGCTCGGCATGTCCTGTACCGACCCCACGGTGCAGCATCTCTGGACCTTTGTCTACCACAGCTGTCTTGAGGTGTGGACCTAAGGTTTGCGCGGATTGCCCGATCTTTACAATGCAAAAGGCAGTGTGCAGCGACGCGCAATGTCTGTCACACCGCTGCCAAAATCACTGCTCTGCGCAAGCTTGAGGCCACAGCTCGAGCTAATGCAGCTGATGCACAGAGTCAGTCCTCTGCATGCTGTACACTTCGTCGCCTGGTACTTGTGAACCACAACCAAGCCAATCATGTGTATTGTGGGGCGGGCGTTGAGCCCCGCACGAGAGTTGGTCTTTCAATGCAAAAGCCCGAAAATCCGAATTGGGAAGACATGATGGAAGACATGTGGCCTGGCCCAGACCACTCTGCTAAAGCCTCAGCAACATATCGAGGTGCGCAGAGAGTGTGGGCACGGAGGCAATCTTCAAGCCCTTCGGCATCTTCTCGCCCAATCTGCCGAGACGCACAAAAAAGCCCTGACACGTTCTTCCTCTCAGGACTGTCAGCACGCCCAGCAAAGCCTGCGGTACTCCTGCGACAAGCGGAACAGCAGCTCGGCCTTTTCCGCTTCAGGTGCCTGGCGTACAAAGGAATGAAGCTCCCAACAGCCCCCGACTTGCAACATCTTAACACCTTCAAAGCCATTCCTCTTCTGCCTGCCTTGCGGTGAGCAGTGCAAGCACTGGGCGGCCTAGACCTGGGCACCGGGCTCTGCCATGTCAGGGCCGCCCGACGTGTGGAACAGAAGATCCATAGGGCATGGAGGAAGGACAGTGGCGTTCGGCCCTTCTGAACCCCGAAGTAGGAGCCCGGCGAGGTGACCGAGCGGCCGCTTGCTGGGACACTCGAACCTGGGGAACCTCGCCAAGGGGACTTCTTTTGGAGGGCGAGCAACCCAGAGTTGCTGGCCGGTTTTTTTGCAATGCAGCAGCATTTCTCCAAGCATAAATGACTTGTTTGATTGTTTGGCGTAGGTGAAACATTGCAAATTCACCGGCAGTCATCCCAACCATCCCAACAGAACAAACAACCCAACCTGCAGTCGGAACCCAGTCGAATCAAAACGCATAACCTCGTCTGCGAGATTCTGCGAGCCAGCTAGCAAGAACCGGCCAAAGCCTGGAACAAGGTTGAAGAGAGTTGTTCCTCTCTCCTCGTGATTGGCTCGTTTCTGCAAGAAGACCTTTGCGCTGCACCATTTAACCGTACATTGATTGCACCATGGAACAAGGAGGCCTAACACCAGCCATGAGGGTCATCGAGCCAAGCACTCGTGTCTACATATGTGCACACTACGACGGATTTTTGTTGCAACACATACACATGGTGTTGCAGACCGTTTCGTCAGCATCCGGCTGACAGACTCTGGGCACATCAGCTGTGCACATGATAAACCATGAATGAAAAAGATCGGTTCTGTGCACATCAGTCGTAGAGTTGTCAGAGAAGCCACAACGTCCACGTGAGGTTGATGCACCCATATGCTTGCGACCAGGGCGAATCTTAGCACCTTCCCAGCAGCCTGCAAAAACAACGGCCTTAAGCTATAGCTTGCAATCACAATGACAAGGTCCGCCACTTCGAGACGAAGTAACCGGCAAATGTACTTTACAATCCGACGGAGATCAACACCGCACTCGAAACAAAATTATGAAAGGCCGATTGTCAAATATTCTTTCACAAAAAGTTCCAGCTGCAATCGGCATTCAATGTGCCGGGAGCAAGCTGGACTTGAAGTGCCTGCGTGTCTGCCGTTTTCTGTTGTTCATACATCACAGTCGGCAGCGGAGCTGGCAAAGAAAAGCTTAGATCCATTGCATATGGAACTTGACTGTGGATGTGATTTCAACCTACGCGGTGCAGCTACACTTGCTTTGCCAGCAGGCCACAATTTGGGGTATCGCGACAAAAGTGAGTCTGCACTCACTCATGATGCACGTACATTCCCAATGTGGACCTCTCTGCAAAACGCAGGCACACAAGTAACATTTGAGGCAGTTGCGAGATTAGATTAGTGACAACCGGCGGCCATCTGAAACGTACGGTGGCTGGGTCCGGTCGTGAGACTCAGCTTCTGGGTTTCCTTTCTAGTGTACGTCCACCAGAATCTGGAAACCTGTCCTGAATTGGATGTCGCACCCGGCATTGCCGACACTTTGCGACGTTAACGTCGTTGCGACGGCAAGTCGGTCATGCGGCAGTCTTTCCGAGGAAGAAGACGGTGTATAGTAGAGCGGCTACAGCGACAGAGGCGCACCGTTCAGGAAAGCGTGGATATCAAACCCATCGTCCAAAATGCCTGAGTCACGCAACAGAATCTGCACAGGCATTCGCATCTGCTCACACGTATCCACTGTCTACATTCTACATGTCGCCGTTCTGAGGCTTGGACAGACTACTGGCACTGGCTGATCATGCACTCCTCAGCAATGCCATGACCCGCTACAGTACTAGGTTCAAAAACTCTCAAGTCTCACATCGCCAAAGAGAAGCCATCTATTGAAGGAGAAGTTGTGGTGCTGCCGCCCTGAACCTCCTCATCCGGGTCTCCTTCACGCTCCAAGAGACCTGAACCAAGCGAAACGGACCAGCTGTTCCGGGAGTTGCTGAGACCTTGAAGGCCTGAAGCCTGTGTCACAAGCCTTGTAACTCCTCAGACTCACCACGAAGGCCCTGCCTGTAATCAGGTTGCGCGCAAAGCCGCTCCTTTGAGCCAATCGTTGGAGCTCATCGTGGACCCTGTCTGGCGAGTTCTCCCGCGACTGCAAAATAGTGTTCAAAGTCCTTCGCGTGTTGCTATATTCAAACATGTGCACTTCTAAGTGAACTTTTGCAACCCGTCCTTTTCAGCCTCATACGGATCTGCTTCCCGGGCCTCTCTGGATTCACCTCCATCCGGAACAGATGAACGTGACAGAATGGACAGGCGGCCCTCCGGCAGCCAGCAGAGGTTCCCAAGAATAGACATGGATCACACGAACCCGCGGAGTGGGGCTGCGTCGCGCTGGAGCTTGAAAGCTGAGCTTGAGGGTCTCCTTCTGTATGCCCGTCCATGTCGGCAGGGACCCATCCATTTAGCCCGTGCATGTGTCCTAGTGGAACTGAGCTGGAGCCGGGATGCTGCAATTTTCAAGGACATCCACTTTGATCAAGGCCATGCCTGACACCATCACTGCAATCACCGAATCGACTGTTGTGAGATGGTATGCCATGTCATGCCAAGTAGTTTGTGACCACAAACACCAACCTCGGTTGGTGACAAACACGAAGCAGGTTGCTGAGTGTTCCTGGCACCTTCCATTTCTTGTGAAGTATCGTTTGTCTTTGTTCTCCTTTTTCTTGGAAAGCGGAGGCTTTGGCCGGGAGGGGAGATGGCGCTTTCTTTGCTGACGGATGTTGTGACCGGCCAAGCGTTCCTGTCTGGGGCCGACAGAGACGGACGGAAAAGGATAGAGGAAAAGAGATGCGGGGAAGGAAAGACGCAGGGACCGAAAGACAGGGCTGTACATTCATCCGCGCAACTGCTACGTATCAAAAACCTCCAAGATGGAGGAACAAATCTTACAGCAATGCAGTCAAAAGGGAGGGTACTGCAGCCCGTAATTATGTATGTATGTGTGTATGTGTGTATGTATCTATGCATGTACGTATGTACGCATGTACGTACACATGTATGTATGTATGTATGTATGTATGTATGTATGTATGTATGTATGTGCGATGCATTCATTTTCTGAGTAGTTCCGGGGATGTGGAAAAGCCACAGCTGCGACAGCCGGGACAAGTTTGTCCTGTCCCACTTTTCGCTAGCATTGGACATCTTTGCAGCGCTGAAGTGAAGTGAAGTATGTATGTAAGTATGTATGTATGTATGCATGTATGTCTTTCTGTATGTATGTGTATCTACTCTTTGTTCACGAATATGCGCGGGCGAGGTGTGTGTGTGTGTGTATGTGTATATATATATATATATATACACACACATACATACATACATACATACATACATACATACATACATACATACTTCACTTCACACGCTGCAAAGGTCTGGTCTCTGCTAGCGAACATGGGGACAAGGGGTTTGCCCTCGGCT